CAATAACACTTTTTTTTCCCCGGGGGGGGGGGTGTGTTCGAAAGTAACTTTGTTTTGGTAAAAGGAACAGGAATGCAATAATAATAACCAAAGAAAAAGCTGAGCAAGAGAACGAAGTGCCCTTATCAATCGAAACTTGAGAGAATATTCAATGGAAGAGCAGAGAGAGTAACTCACTTGGTTATACAGAGAAAGGAGACTTAACTTTAGATACTTAACTTGAGTATTCAATGTGTGCGATATATATCATAGATAAGGATGGGAAGCCACAAGACGAGACCCCACCTTTGTGTATCTTTTACATTGTCTGCTATATCCTTTTCTTTAGGACAAAATATGAACAAACGAACCGGAAAATAAAAACAACAACAAGAAGTCCTGCGTACGTAGTATCATCAAAGTATTGATCATAAATATAAATGCAAGGCTGGTATGCTAGAATCGATTCACTGTGTAGGGTTGCGGCCTACGAATGGGCGAACTGGTGAATGATGATCAAGGTCGTCAATCAGATCCCTCTTTCACACTCCACACTATTTAATTTAGCCATATACACAAGGCACAGTGTGTGTTGAATCTAAGTGAGACTATAAGTGAGACGTGTCATGATTGATCAGATAGCTATAAAATGTCAAATGGAGACTATGAGTATCAGATAGATATAACTTGGCGGTCCCTGCAATCAATTCAGTTTCTTTGTAAATTAAGAAGATAAATATTGTGTTGGTTTTTTTTTTTTGGATGAAATCACTCAAAATATATGTTCAACCCATTCAAATGTGGAGCCTCAAACGGTTGAAACTTGAGAGTTGCAGAGAAAGAAGAGGAAGAGCCCTCACGTGGAGAAGAAAATAAGAGAGTGAGGGAAAATGGAAGACAAAAGGCAGAGAGTAGGGCTGCAGAGGTTCTTTTCAGTGAAACATAGGATACTTATTACATTTATTCATAAACTGGACTGCCTGGCACATAGACACATTTGAACCTTTTTATTTGCTTCTAAATATAATATATATTTATTTAATTAATTTTAAATAAATAATTAATACTAGTATACTTTTCTTAAATTTTACAAATTAATTAACAGGATTGATGCAGTTATTTAGCTGATCAAGGATATTATAGTTAAAATAGGAGGAAAATATATGACTGCATAGGAGCGACACATATAAGTAAGTCCAGTGTGTCCTCTTACATATTTTTAAATAGACGGCGGTTTTTCTATATTTTTATAAATGTGGAATAATACAACGTATAGGGGCATGGCATAAAGCACCCTACTTCTTTTCCTCTCAACATCAGTTTCCTCCCAATCATTTATTCCTTTCACATCTTACTTACATTTTACAACTACTCCCTCCGTTACTTATTATAAGAGACGAATAATCGAATTACGTTGATAAAAAAAACAGTTAAAATTAGTTAAGAACAATCAATGTGTAAAAAGTATAATTTCTTTTCCAAAAATACCCTCATTAATAAGGAGAGAGAACATGAGAGAGAATAATAGTAAATTATTAAAAGAAAGAGAAGTGGGAAGGAGAGAGAGTGTGAGTTAGAGACAATAAATATGGGTAAAATAGGAAATCAACACAAAAAAGTAGAAACAACTTTTAAGTGTCTCTTATATATAGAAACATGCCATAAGCATCAAATGTCTCTTATAATAAGGAACGGAGGGAGTATCATTTACTCCCCCCTCCTACTTACTTAATTCCAATTAAAACTATACTTTACCTAAACAACCCAACTAATCACGTCTTCCGCATTTATATTGATAACTTGATAATTTATCTACTTCAAGTGCTTTAAAAAAAATGAATATACATTTTGCTCAAAAAATTAATGGTGCATAAATGCTTCTCTTTCATTTTGTAGACAGGCCCATTATATAAAATGACCATTTGTATCACAAAAAAAAGACCATTTGTGAGGCCTGTAACAAATGTCCGGAGACTCAACCTTTTTGGGCTCATTATGGGCTGAATATATAACTGGCCTGTGTACAAAAATCCAAGGTGACATCTAACGCGGCCTTCCCGGATTTTATATCAGGATACCCATGATGTGATCATTGTATGTCTTTATATGTGTGTGTATGCGTAGAAATGTCTCCAGCACGGTTATTTTCAATAAGGGGATATGCTTCTTTTTTGTCCAACCGAAAAAAAAAAACAGTAAATAACAAATTACATATTTGTATTTTCCTAGCAATTGTTAATTAGAGATTTTGACCCAACAAAAAAAAAAAGAAAAAGAGTTCATTAGAGTCCATGCAATTGTTAAGCAATGAGAGACATTCCTCTTTATGTCCCTCCCTTCATATTAAAATTAATAGGCCAAACGTCATGCCATTTGAGACCCTGTATCTCCAACCATGCCTTTCTCCCAAACCAATATCCAGATTATTTAACTTATTGTATAAAGATTATCTCCTAATTATGTCGTTCAAAAATCTGAACGGAACTTCTTTACTTCTATTAATTTTGAATAAATAATGTCGTGTTATTTTTTTATAAAAATGTTGAGCTTTCAGAATTATATGGATATAGTCATTATATTTAATTTGAAATTTATTACATAAAAGAATATAAAAATTGCATATAAATTTTTTAATCATATCGATAACGGTAATTACTTAATTATTCTCATGTTAAATTAAATATTGTGTGTGGGCGCGACGTAAAATGATTGGCCAATCATAAGTTGGTAACCACTTAATTAGAAGTAATTGTGACGATTGTTGGGAAATACGAGCATGCCATGTTTGGGGTTAGGTAAAACAAGAGAATAGAAAATCTTCAATTATATATATGTTGTAATGGCGGATTAAGTTAATTAAAAAGATGCTAACAAGTATTAGCATACCACTCATGTTATTGTCAGTGACAGCCTTTTTTCCTCCAGTTGTCCAATGAGGATTATTTTCATTGAATTTAAATATTAAACTATTTTTCAAATATTTCTCGGCGGATACCACTATTAAGCAAAGTATATTATTTTTTTTTGAAAAAAATCATGCATATTTTTCTAACATTTCCATCATGTTGACGTGTGTAGAAACAATATTGACAGTATAAAAAAAATGTTAGAAGGAGCTCAATAAAATACATGAAGAAAGATGAAAGGAATAAAGAACTATATACGTGTATATAGGTTATTAATAGTACTGTTCTGCGTAAATAATTAAAAAGCTAATTCTGTATTTTGCATGAATCTTGAGGTAAACAACTTTGTTCATGATCTGTAAGAATAATAACTAATTGATGAGATTTACTAGAGAAATAAAGAAGAGATCATCCTCAACTATATTATCTAAATATTTTACACATAATGGCAAGTGTGTGTGTGTGTGTGTGCGTGTTACAAAATTTTGGAATTTAAAAAAACACGATATTTCTGTAACCTTATCTTCGAATTACAAATGTAGCTAGATATGGCTGTGTGGTTTATTGAGTAAGCACTGATATCATTGGAGACAAGCCGTCAAGAAATAAAAGAAAAAAATATTAAGAGAGAGAGAGAGAGAGAGATGGCAGCAGAAGAACGAAAGAAATGCTTCATTCTGGCCGCCTGCAAATCCAAAAGGAACCAGCTAAGTAGTTAACCACTACACAAAGAGACATTTGGTATGGTGGAGATTTCTCTTTAAAATAACCAAAATGGTTGCCATCAAAATTATTCCTTTTGAACTGCTCCCCTCTTCTCTCCCTCCATTCATATCACTAATATGATTACACAGTACAGTCAGCTATTTAGTTGGAGCTAGTCACTTGAGATGAATGAGATTGTGGCACTTGTATATATATTTGAGATTTATCTGTTTCTTTTTGGTTTAATTGTCATCGGTTTATTTAGAGCAAACCCTAGTTACCTAGCTATTACTCTACTAGTTGATTTGAGGATAACACTGCACATGTCTCTTCCTTTCCAAGTAGGGCTAGAAAGCCAGTTGATGGCATCAGTAAAATCATTTCAAGAATAAAACTTGATTTCAGAATGTATATACATGTGACGAGTGATTCCTAAAAAAAAAAAAAAGGAAAATTGTTTAGGGATATAGAAATGCTTCAACAGTTCAACGCGTTTTGATGCATGTAGCTAGAAAGAGTTGTTCATGTGTTCACACTGCCTTCTCTCTTTTCTGCCCATAGTTGCTGATTCCCACTTCTTTTTTTACTATATATGTGAAACAAACTTTGCTTCACTTTCACATTGTAAAGGCTGAACAAGTATATTTTTGGGCACATCTCTTATTAGCTTGCCAAGTAGAATTACAACGTGTATGAGATCATTATAGCTATAGATAGTGTGCTTATAAAGCCTCACTGCTTTTTAATTTTCTTTATTACTAAGGAGAAATCAGGAAAAGAGAATCAGAGTGACAGAAGAATATGTGTCCAATAATAGCATAATGACAGAGAGTAAGTTAATACTCAAGCACATAAACAAGATATTGAAGTGTGAAAGCGTTTCTGATCAATGAACCGTGTCTTCAAATTATATATGATTAATAGCAATAAATATAAGCGTAGTGCCCGCAAGAATTAGTCAGATTGAAGTGGGGATTGGAGAAGAAATGCCAGAAACTAATTTAAGAAATAAACTAAAAAAGACCACGTCGTCTTGAAAACCTTGGCGTGATAGTAACATAAGCAGAAATTGCCACCAAATTAAATGGAAGAGAGAGAAAGAGAAGGAGCAAGCTAAGTAATTAAAACTACCCAAGGGTTGGACCAATTATAGAGCCGGCTAAATGAAAAAACCTAAGAGCAAAAAGACAAAACGTAGAAATCCACTAATATATGCCACAATGACAAAGTCGATGGTTTCTACTTGTCTCCATCTCTCACCTTTTCTCTCTTAACGTTGTTCTCTATAGCTATAAAGCCCTATTTCCCTTCCACATCTCTCCTTCCCTCAGACTTCATTATCCCTCATAATCATCAAGGGATCTCAGCAAAAAAGAAACAGAAAGAAGAACAAAGGGCTTCTCTGTTGCCATGAATAGTTCAGAGAATTCGAGCGAAGAGACTGATCAGCTGGAAGATGCAGATTCAGGAGGGATCAGACGATCTTACGAGTGCACATTTTGCAGAAGGGGCTTCACCAACGCTCAGGCGTTAGGGGGTCACATGAATATTCATAGAAAAGACAGAGCCAAAGCCAAACAAAGTACTCCTAATTCTTCTCTTTCAAACAGATTTTCCAATGAGGAGTCCTTTGCATCAGCCTCCCCTTTTCTTTCAGAAATATCTTCAGGCCAACAATCCTCAAAGTTATACTCCATTTTCGAGGTTCAGGGAAACTATAACATGTATTTCCAGCCATCTTCTGCAACAAACCCTGGAGACCCTTCTCCTGCACCATATGCCTTCCCCTTTGAGTATCTTAATCCGAGGTCCCATCGTCAGTCTGTGGATGTGAACCCAGAGCTTCTAGGGGCCAATTTGAGCCTCCAGATTGGTCCAAGTCATGTGGAAAGTAATCAGAAAGACGGCGAAGTGGACTTAGAGCTCAGACTTGGCCATCATCCCTATTGAAGCTAGCTTTTTTAAGGTATATATTAGATACAGATTATGATGTATTGTACAGAAGATATTAACAAGGTCAGATTCCGTGGAATTTGGGATATAAATTATTATCATCGGAGGAACCCTTGGAATTCATGCGTATATATATGAGCCAAGAGGGCTATTGTCTACGCCTATGATCTGAATTGAAGACACGTACGTAAAGAAGCAGAAACTTTAGGCTGTTTAGGCCCAAAATGGTGAATTAAGAATTAATTAGAACTGATTAATTAGACACGTACCATTTACTGGTTATCATGATGTAATAATTTAGTATTATATATATAGCTACCAGCTTAGTTTTCGTGTTTGTGCAAGCCTTTGGCCTGGAACACTAAAAACCCAGATTTACTTCTTTCCCTTTAGTGAGATTCTTATTTAATATGCACACTATATTAATGATCCTTTCTTGACTTTAGATGATCAAAAGTCTTATGACTACTGCATTCAGTTAAAATCATATGTTCATACTTTTTCTCGCGAGAGAATGCTTTTGATTCAAATTTTCTTCCATCGATCTGCAGTAGTAATGATGACGCATATGTTTTGCTTTGTCAAATCTCGTAATTGAGTATATGAATCATGTTGCACATGCTACGGCTGTCATTGACTAGACCAGCATGCTATGTATAAAATTCTCTTTTTTGTTTTTATTTTTAAGATACTTTACTAAGTGCTTCACCTTAGAAGTTTTGCCATTTATGAAAATTTCATAAAAATGGCAAGCAATAGTACAGAAAATCATAGCCCGTATGTACGCCGTGGAAAAGATATTGAGGGTGTGTTTGGATGAAACCAAACCGTGGTTTGGAAAAGTGATTTTGGAGAATAGATTCTGGGAAAAATAGATTTTGTGAAGAATAGATTTTGTAAAAAAGTGATTCTGAGAAGTGAGAGTGTTTGGATAGTTGTTATCAGAAGCACTTTTTATATATACAAATTACTAAAAAAAGACATAAGTTAATATGATAATTACAGAAAAAATAGATTTTATGATATATTTTAATTTGAAGGAATAAAACTGTTAATAATATGTTTTTTACCAACATAATTAATAATACATAAGATAATATAATTAATAAATAATTAATGTGTATATATATTTATAAAATATAAGATTAAATATATTTATAAAAAATATGTTTATAAAAAAAATAATAAGATACATATCATATAGACCCTCACACTCTCCCTTCTTTCTCCAAAAGCAAAAAAATTTTGCTTTTTCCAAAACCATGGTTTTGACCCAAAACCATGGTTTTGGTTTTAAGAGGGGTGTTTGGGTAGATTATTTCCCAAACCATGGTTTGGGGTGCTACCCAAACAGACCCTGAGTATGCTATGCACCCTTCTGAATAACATTAATTTATTCACTCAAAAGTTAAAACAACAAGATTAAGATATACCATGGAGTACGTGGCTGTCGGATATCTGATTAATCCTATTGTTTAGCATGTGATTATTATTTGTTAGAGCTCGTTTTCATTTTATTTTCCATAAGTGACTCTGTGAAAAGTTGAACTAATCCACCAACTCAGTACACACTCTCTTCTTGCCGTAAGTATATGCATACGCAATGAAATAATGATGATTTAAGTTTTTTATTGAAAATTGGCTTTTAGCCCAAGTAATTACTACAAAGTTATAATTCCAGTATATATAGTGGGAAGTTTAGGAAAATAGAGTGGTCGCCTTTCCTTTTGTAACTCACGAATTAAATGAATTAAGTTACCACTTCCATTTCATTACAATTGTCCTTTTAGGAAGAAAGGTTTATTTCATATTATATTGTATTTCTTAATATATGTGCAGAAAAACTTAAACGATACGAATATAATGAAACAAAGGGAGTAATTAATTACCGACTAGAGTAGAAAATATTGATTGTACATTCAATTGATTAAACAGCACTACCATTTATCCTGTGATAATGCCGCATATGGCAGCTCTTTATTTGGTACAAAATCGACGAGGAAGTCTTGTATTTGTATTCTTATTTTTATTCCGATGATCAGGATATTTCTGAATCTTAATTATTTACTGCCTCCATCCTTAACCTTAATATAAGAACCTGTTTGAATTTTATTTTAGTCTTAGATATAAAGTCCTAATTCACTTTGTCTCTTATATTTGTCCATTTTTTTTTCAAGATAGTCTTTCTAATAATAGTAATTCTAACCAATAAATTTAATTAGTAGAGATATTTTAAGAAAGACAACACATATATATTACAAATAACTAATTTAACTTATTTTCTTAATCTACCCAAATTAGGCAACTAGTTCTTATATTTAAGATCGGAAGTAGTACTGTAAATCTCATTTTCTTTACAAGGGAACCTAGAAGCCTCCAAATATGATTTTTCTTCATGTGAATAGATGTAAAGGTTCAAATTAAACATGATGACTAAATGAGCAGTCCTGGTTAACGAACAAAGACTTTGAATATTATAGCCCCAAGTCAGGTTCACCCTGGAAAATAATTCAATAGTAATTTTCAGTTTGGCCGCAGAAAAGAAAATGGGAGAATTACAATGAGGTCCCAAGTAATTAAAAAACAAGTCCCAAAGGTTGTCATTCTCACTGTAGGACTTGTTATTTCAGGCTGCTCAGGTTGTTACTTGGGACTTTACAGTGATTATTTCTCTTGTGTGGGACTTGAATGTAATTCTCCCAAAGAAAAAACAGAGATTTCCACGCTAAGAGCTACGAGTACGATTTGATCTCGTGTAGAATGCCAATAGGTTTACTCTAATTCCTAAATCCTAATAGCCCATTTGCGTGTATATATATAGCTCCTTAATACATGATTAATGCCTTCATTGATGGTAGCAATTAATCAACTAGCTTTGAGTAACGTGATGGGCAAAAACTGCGATATGCTATATATATCTACACACACACCCTCGGCTATTTATGGAGCCATAAATAGAAAAGGGCCTATTTGGCTATATGCTCTTCAAGAGGCCTAACCTAGGAAAATAATTCAACCAATGTAACTTTTTCTTCGATAGATACTAAAACTATGATGAGTGAGGATAATTACATAAATTTGTAGTTAGTGCTCAAAAAGAAATAGATTTGGATGTCATTAGTGATCCCTAGTGATATAACAATTAAAAAATTACGTATAATGCGTAAAACAAAATTGTTATCATGCGTAAAATACACTAATTACCTCTATGTTATAATATGCTGAATGTACAATTTTTAAGTGAGTATTATTACCAAACAATATTTTTTTTATTGGTGTGATACTTAATTCTTTTTTTTTCAATATTATTTTCATCACATACGTCTAAGTAATTTCAACACATACAAGTGTATTTTAATTAATTAATTGAAATCAAATGCAACAGCTATTACAATGAACAGCTAATATCGCACTAACTATATTAGAACACAACAAATGGAGCCAGCAGGTTGTAGTATTCCTAAATGACGTTGGAAAAGTTTTATCCCGTGCAAAATTAACAATTGATAAAACAATTACATTATTAATTGAATCAAAATATTAGCTGGCCAGACCTTTTATTTTATCAAAAGGAATTTACGTGAGTAAACATTTTTTTTTAAAAAAAAGGACCATATTCTAAATTTACCCAAAAAGTCCCAAGCAAACTTCCGGTTTCAAAGGCCAGATTGTCAGCGATATAGAAATTACTACCTCTGGTCCTTAATATAAGATCCTGTTTGATTTTTATTTTAGTTCTAAATATAAGACCCAATTCACTTTGTCTCTCATATTTACTCAATTTTTTTCAAAATAATCTTTCTAATAATTATAATTCTAGTTAATATACTTGATTAGCAAGGATATTTTAGGAAAAACAATACCTATTTAGGACAAATAACTAACTCAACTTACTTCCTTAATCTTCTCAAATTAGGCAACTGACTCTTATAATTAGGACCGAAGGTAGTATAAGAATACGTGTTCATTGCGCAGAACAAACATGTTTATACGTTTCGTCTTAAATTCCTCGACCCTGAATAAAGAAGTTCCACGATTTACATATATTCCCAGAAACAATGTTATTATGACATTGGCTTTCCATTATACGTTGGTAGTCAATTTCTAAAATTCATTTTTAATTTCAATTTTGAAAGTTACATTTTTGGCTGATCTGCTGAATTTCAAATTAAGATTTAATATGTTTAAATTATGAACCGAAAAACAGAAAATTGGTCATCCTTCTTGATCATGTCAATGAGTTCCTTCTCTCCAAGAATTTAATTCTTTTTTAATTTCTTCGATATGCGTTATGGTGTGAATGTGATTCCTTTGGCAAACAATTGTCGGAATCTATTTTTGTTTCTTCTATCAAAACTTAATCGTTTGTTTGCTGCATAAAAAAGTTGTTCGTCGACTATTTGAAAATTAAAATTAGTGCTAGAATTAAAACCAATAATTTCCGTGGAAAATGGGAACGTCCTCGAATAAAAAGGCCCATGCTTTTCAATACACTGGTCAACTACAAATTGGCCCAAGTTAAGGCTTAATAGATCCACACATATCAACATGTTTTTGGGCTGAAATCCAATTTTCGTTAACTTTTCCTGGACATCAATAAATCGTATGTTCCTATTAAAAAAAAGAAAACTGCTACTACTTCCGCGGCTAATTATAAGATCTTATTTATAATTTATAAATAAGATTTTATAATTAGGACAAAAGGTAGTATTAATTAATTATATTATCTTTTTTATCAAGTGAAGAAAAATGGACAACAAAAATAATGGAGATTTCTTTGTCCTGGTTTTGGTTGGAGGTAAAGACGTAGATGCACTTGGAAAAGAATGTGGAGTGTAGACAGTACATTATAGAGGGATGTTAAGTGATATATTGTGAAATTGAATAATGATTCTTATTCCCACTAAGTCATCTTTATGAGGTTCATGCAGCTTTGGGAAGATGATGTAACCAAATTTCCTAATATAGCAAAAATTTTCTTTTTGTGGACAGAGTCATTTCCAGTGCTTCATCACCCTTTTCCAAAATGGCAAT